TTATCAATAATATACAACAGATACTGATCCTCCAAAGATCAAGTGTCCCCCATCCAGACTGAAGGTGGCTGATCCAGGAAAGCTCACAGCCAAAGTGAGCTGGGACCCCCCAGTCGCCACAGACACTGCAGACAAATTCCTTAAGTAAGTGGATTTTCTATTGCCTGCTTCTTTTTGACTTTTTAAACAGATATCCGAGCTTTTCGTCTTTCTGCCGCACAGCGTGGTGTTGGTGGACCAGCAGCCTGACACGGAATTTAAAGAGGGACTCCATATCATCAGATACAAGGTGTACGATCAAGCCAGGAACAGAGCTGCCTGCAAGTTTATTGTACGTGTTGAGGGTAAGCAGCGAAGCAGAGGAGTTTCTTAACTCATAAAGAGCCTTTAGCTACGACATCAGAAGCTGAGACAGACGTGTTCCCACTGTGTCTCAGTGAGGAGGTGTCCAGTGCTACCTCCGCCTCTGCACGGTTACCTCAGTTGCTCCTCTGATGGGAATAACTACGGTGCAGCTTGTGAATATCTCTGCGATGGAGGATATGAGCGCAGGGGGATGTCTAGCCGTGTCTGCCAGTTCAACCGCAGCTGGAGCGGAGACCCTGCTGAGTGTGTCCGTGAGTAGGCCTCCTGAGTCACACAAACCACACACCACCATGTACAGAGGTAAAAGGTGGGGGTGTCTTGCTAAATTCTTAAAAAATCGAGTTAGAAAGGATAATGATGTTTTTGATTATAAAATTCAGTTTTTTCTCTTTTTCTACTAATTTAACTTTTTTGGTTGGTAGACTTGTGAAAGGAAAAGTGTATGTATGTTCAGAAGGTTGTAACTTACCATTTATTTTAAAGCGATGGAGTTTAAGTTCAGCGTGAAGACAGCATCAGCTCTCCTGGATCAGTTCTATGAAAGGAGGAGGGTGTTGATCATATCTGCGCCCAACATATCCGACCTGGACTACCAGTTGCAGAACGTCATGATACAAGTGAGGAGACATCGCTTGGCTTCATGGTTCTTTCTAGTGTTTTATAGCAGTTTAATGTACAGTTCTCCTCTTTTCCAGAAAGCTGATTGTGGATTGGACCTTCGACATGTCACAGTGATCGAACTCCTAGACTCCCCGCCTCGTGAGACGGGGCGCATCAAAGAAAACCTGCTGCAACCTGAAGTCATCGAGGGTTTGAGGTAAGACTGGTGTGTGGTTCGTTGTGTCAGAAAAAATGTCAATAAAAATGAAATTAGAAAAAAAAGGATCTAGAGACATTTTTTTATCACATTTGATAAGCATTTTCTATTCACCCCTTTTAAAAATTCCTTTTTCATTACAAAGAAACATTTTAAAAGACATGTTTTGTTCTCCTGATTATTAAAAACATTCATTTTGCAAAAAAAGTAACCAAACATACAAACACCAATTCTTCTTAAAACACACACATCCGCAGATTTCTTTCCAACAACTATGTAAGATGAGAGTGGAGCCCCTCTCAATTTTTCCAGAGTGGAAAATCTCTCGGCATTCAGTCATTACCCTCTCTTGAATCCAACAGCTCCGAGGTCTGAATTCTGGAAGAGTTTTTGTAAGTTAGGAGTCATAAAAGAGCCAATATTTTATTGCCAAAAGTATTCACTCACCTGAATCTATGTTATATTACCAGTTCAAAGTGAGCTTGGTCCACTGTTTGTTACAGTAACTGCTTAAAATGTCCAGAAGTTGTAGGAGCATGTTTGTGAGAATTGTTGCCCATAAGTGTATTTGTGACACACTGCTGTTAGATGAGAAGGCCTGACTCTTCACACTGGAAAAAATGGAAATGTAGATAAGGTAACGGAGACATTTTGCCTATGAAACAAGACAATTTAGACTTAAAATAAGAAAACACAATTGGATTGTCTTATTTCAAGTGCATATTATCTAATTATCGTATTTTAAGATTAAAAACACTAATTCCATTGGCAAACTATCTAATTTACCTACTCAAATTACGGGTAAATACACTTAATTTAAGATTTTTTTTACTAGAACGTTTCCCCAGTGCTCTCAAGTCATCCTAAAGATAGTTCTCCATGCCACTCTGTCATCCATGTTTGTTTTTTTTTATGGACGGCACAGTGAATCCAGTAGAAATTTTTATTGCCTACCAGGAGTGGGTGACAATAGTTGAATAAACTTATGGCTCTCAAAATGGTATCGGTGCCCTATTTGTTGGTACTCGCCGATACCGATACCACCATTTTCGGGCAGTATCGGGGCCCCGTCCGATACTGGTATCGGTATTGGTGCAACACTACTAAAAACCCATTGGCCAAAAAACCTGTTACAATCTGGAAACAATTGGCTTATAGTGGCAGTGGGAGCAGCTCACTGAGACACGTCTACCCGGGTCAAACTACTCGGCAAGCGACTCACATTAAAATCGCCTTGGCTCTGATCGGCATGCAGTGGGAACACCAAACCCAGGTTGACTCGCTAAATTACGTAACACCATTGAGTGCAACGTCAGACGTCAGCAGACCGTGCCAGTCACGTAACTCCATAAGTTTTCATGGCCTACAGTCAATCCCTTTCCCTTTATAAGGATACCACTAATGGTTGGCAGTGAATTATCTAGAAGTGGGATACTTGGCACCCTATTAAAGAAACAGACTGAATTTCACAGAGCTCCTGAAAGTGACCCATTCTTTTACTAACGTTTAAAGATACAGCCTGTGTGCCTAAGTGCTTGATTTTATACATACGTGGCCATGGAAGTGATTAGATAACCTGATTTCAAATATTTGCATAGATGAATGAATAACATTGTGTTTTAAATAGGAATCATCAATAAGAGGTTATAGGTCATTAGACTTGTTGAAAAAACAAAGCAGATACAATTCTTATTAATTAGAATATCAAGCTATTTTAAAGGAAGGACTTTTGGCCTGTATGGGATATTATCAAGGCATGGAGAGAAAACTCTAAGGATCTCTTGAATCTGGTATGGAGGCCAACTCTGGGGTGGGATAATGACTAGGATCCCTACAGAGCATGTAGTGAGGGTGCCTGGGATGCTTTTAAAGGTTATCTGGACCTTTTATACCCACAATGAAGCTTGGTCTCTGCCGGGCTGTCCATTGTCACTCATTTGTGGCCCCAATTTTGTTAAAAATGAAGAAAATATACTGCACTCCTAATGGAATAAATGTTTATTCTTAAAAGTAAAAAAAGCTGTATTTTATTTATGCCCTAGGCAGAGTTATATTTAAAACAATCTTTACATTTCCAAAGATAAGTGGAACGCAATGGTTGGTTTTCTATACACAGAGCTGAATAATACATATTCCTTTTTAACCTATATAAACAGAATGTTACTGGAGATGAACCTCAGACATCTAGAGAAGGTTTTTAAATTATAATATTGCAAACCATAAACCTTAGTACCACCCCAGCTAAGAGGTTCTATGTTGTTCTTATCAAACTGAAAAGCATTTATTAAATATTTTTGCGGCTATCCTGGTAGCAGGGGTGATGCATTTCTTCTTGCAGCCGTTCTATGCACATAAAATAGGTCTAATGACAGCCAATGGGCCTTTTCATTTATATTCAGTCTGAATTAGATGATTTTTATCAGGAGAACCTTTTTAAAGTCATAATAATGGGTACCAAAAGGTGCATTCAGTTTGCAAGATTTAACTTTAGCCTAAAATATGTAGCTTAATTTCTCATATGGTAAAACTGGCCTGTTTTCTAAATGCTTGTATCGTTTCTCTACACAGGCAAGCCTTCAGGATTTCCCGATCCTACTTCAGCATGGTGCTGCTGGATAAGCTCGGTGTTGACAGAGAGCGCTTCATCGTCCCTGTATCGTCAGATGAGCTCTTCTCCTATATAGACAGTTTTCTGCTGGAGGAAGAGGAACGGGAGAAGCTGGAGCTTCACAAGGATTTCTGTGACTAATTTATTAGGGCACTTTGGCTGCCATAGAAACGTTGTCTATCAGTGAGACAAGATATAGAAAGGACAAACAACCTGATTCAGAGTGAGAAAAAAAAAGGAGGGGAGCTCCTCATGTTTAAACAGTTTTATTACACAAGACTTAAGTGCTGGCACTATTTTCTCTATATAAAAATCAGCTGAAGGTAATGAAAGACAGGACCTTCTCTTTACTTAACATGAGCAGACATTTCCACTCTCACTTTTTAGCAAGAAATCTGAAATGTTAAACCTAATGGAGGAATCCTTGCTTCAACGCAACTGACTCAAACATGAACTCATTAGCAGACGTCTGCATAGCCAGGTTAGCCGTGAGATTCATGTGTAAAGGACATAGGATCTAAAAGTTGAAGAATGGCAGCCCTCCATTTAATTTTAAGAACATTACACTGAAGGGGAGAAATCAACAGTTGGAGAGATAAGGACATGTTTGGTTTCACTTTTATTGAGTCAACAGATTATTCAAGGTAACCTTGAGGTCATTGTGACTGATAACACTCAAACCAAAACATTACACTAAAACAGTCTTTTAATTCAAGTTTTATAAATATATCAGTAATGAGTATTGAAGCACAGTGGTGCACATTTAATATAACTGTTTTGATCCTGACATTTTCTATAATACCGGCATATAATGATCCTTTTCCTTCATAGTGTTCATCTGTTAATAATTATAAAGTGGGAAAAAAATGGAAACACTTCCGTGTCTCATTTCAAATGGTTATAAAATATAGTCTGAGATTGAAAAGTGACTTAGTGTGACGCTTTGGTACATTTTTTTAACAGTAACATCCAGTTAGGAGTCAGTGAGCTAACCTTTAACCACTTTTAATCGATGAGCGATCGATTAAAACTGCAACTATCTAATGATACAGACGAGGTTCTGGTCATAAGTTTGGCTTAGAAAATGAATCCATAGATTTGTCTCAGAGGCCAGAAATTCTCATCATATTGCATAGTTTCAGTATCTCAGTTCTGCCCTCATTTATTTATTTATTCTTGGTTTTCCCCATTGTGGAACGCAGTGGAAGAGTGCCCTCTGCCCATGAGTCTGGGTACTGCATCATCTTCTGCCACATGTTGATCTCCTCTCCAACAGACTCCAGTTCCACTTCCTCTTTTCCTATTTTCACAGCGCCTGCAGAGTAAAGATTAGCAGAGCTGTTATGATCCATGCTGGAAGCTTCTTTCAGCTTTACACAAGCAAAAAAAAAAAGAGGGATGCTTTGCAGAAGTGATGATTTTAAGGTAAACTAAGCAAAAAGAATAGGACCAACATTCCCTGCTGTTACCATTATGCTAAAAGTCTTTAAACACTAATTAGTTCTTGCTATATACCATCAAATCATTCTGGTAATGTTCTAGGAATTCCTCTCAGAGTGACAGCAGGTATATATCCTTTTTTATACCTTTTCCTGAGCTAAGGCGGACTCCTCCCAGGAACTCATTGCTCAGCATGGCCTCTCTGTCCCATACAGTGAGCTCCAGGCACATCCCTCTCAGCTGCTCCAGGCTCAGCTCTTTATAAACAAACGTGTGGTTATATTGGGGGTTCAAGTTCTTCTTCACTATGGCAGTCTTCCTCTTTAAGTTCTTTGCTTTAGCTGGGAACAAGTACCTGCAAAGCCACAAATACAAAGTCTGGTAAAAGGAAATTACTTGTTTCCAAACAGTTGTTAGGACGTATTACGTACCCTTTGACAAAGCTGTCCGACATGCCTCCTGGTTTCATAGCCATCAAGTTCTTTGCTTCTTTAATTAAGACATGCAACTCTCCACCTTCCTGAGGAGCAGCTTTTTTCCCTAAGATAAATAAAAAGAAAACAGAGAATTTTAAATTGTCCTGAAACAAGCTGGAACTGAAAGCAGGTTTCTGATACTTTACCCTTGACTTTCTCTGGCGTTGTCTTTTTAGGCATGACATATTTTAGTGAGATCACCAGCTCTCCCCTGGACTGAGCAAAGGCTGAAGCTTGTATGGAAGAGCCCGTCTGTGGAAGAGAAGTCAGACACATTTAGGAATAAATGCAGCTTTAAGTGATTTAACAGCAATACTCAATCTGATCAAGTTTTAGCTATATTTAAGCGGTTTTATTCTGGAATGGCCGAGACCTGAGGACCGAACTATGAGGACTTTCAAGGGTTTCTTTAGATCTGAAGCCTATTTTATAAAAACTGAATTAATCTGTTCCGCAACAGCCAAGTCAAGCCCCACAGGTGTGGCTACATTTAGCCAATTATAAATCTAAGCAAAGGTCTGCAGTTTTCTTCAACAGATCTATGAGGTTGATCACAGATTGATTCAGCAGACAACAGTGAATTGACTAAATGCCTAAAATACATATTTCCAAACAACTTCTCTTAACCAATTCAAGCAGTTACTGGTCATATTTTACAAATGAAGAATTAACAGTGACAGCCATAAGATAACTATTGTTTTAACATTCAGTCTCTTAGTGGTTTGGTGGTGTTGCCCTCAGCGTTGGAGAATATTAATTGAATCCGGGGCTCTTCATGAAAGTCATCAAATATCAAAAGCAGATATGATTTTTTTTTTTTTTGAATGTTAAAACATTCTGGTCTCTTAACTTAATCAAATGGAGCAATTTTAGTAGGGATCCAGTGAGAAACATTTCCTGTTAACAAAATCCCCTTGGTGTGCTCTGCGTGGTCCAGCACAATGATAGCATTAGAGAATCCTGGATCAAAAACTGAAAAAAGTATTCCACCTTTCGCAAAGTTCTTTTTGTGATGTGCAATACTGTAGAATCCCTCCTTGATGTAGTTTATTCTTCTATAGACGTGGGATGTTATGAAGATGTGCTTGTTATCCTTTTATACCAAATACAAACTTCCAATGTGGGAAATAGTACTTTTGCTAAGATCTCCTACTGCATACAAACCCGTAGGAGAATATTTTGTACCCAACACTGATAATCTGTGGAGCATTAACAGCATGGCTATGCTTTGTGTGGTGCTGAATTTCATGACCGAGCTGTGTGAACAGGTAGCAGATATCATTCCCAGAAAAGCAGCAACCTTTATGCAGGTAACCATCAGGAAACATTCAGATTTAGGCATTTTTCCTAATCCTTTCAGCACAGCAGTAATCTATTAAAAGTGTCTGGTTCAAACTTAGAACAGACGGCTTTAAAAACACAATAGTAATTATGTCCGCATAGAAAATTAGAAAGTTTATAATGGTATCGGCTACAATAATAATGTTTAATAATTAAAGTAATTGACTATATAACAGTAATTCTTAGTGGATTTGAATGAAGGCTGATTAAAAAAAATACCACAGTTACTGATAAATCTCACTGGTTTAGGATCAGCATCACCTCCTATTGAGATATATTGAAGGCCTGAAGCCAAAATCTACACGCATGGCGGAGTCATCAACCACAAAACGTTGCCATCCAGGACTCCTCACTCGATAAGTGCTGCACCTGTCTGTGCTTCACCTCTTAGTTTGAAATTTTCCGGATCTGCTTTACTTTCTCCATGTCTTACTTCCTGTGTGGCTCATCTGATTTTAGAGAAAGACTCATTTTGCCCAGTCATTCGTCAAAAATTGACTCAAACGTATGTCTGATTGACAACGGAGGGGAGCTGTCCGCCTTGCTGCAGGGCAGCAGAGTCTGTAGAATTACCACGATGACTAGAAAAGGTCTGTGACGGAGTGGAATGAGGGGTCAGTCATTTTTACAAACAAGATGGGGTTAGGGAACATCTTACCGTAGTGAGAGAGAGAAATTCAGCACCATTCAGAAATCTATAATAACACCTATAAAGATGTATTTGTAATTGGATATTTTTCCAAAGCAGACGTATGTCCAAGGAGTAAGACTGAGTAAACCCAAATGTGAACAAAGGGGGATTAAAATCAAGAATATATTATATTAAGAATATTTTAATTAGTAAAAAAAAAATAAAAAAATTACATATACATATACATACATACATACATATACATATATGTATATATATATATATATATATATATATTCAGGTGCCTATGATACTTTTATAAAGATAAACAGTGTATGTAAAACACAAACAAAAACAAGATGTACTGCCTGGATAGAGTCAATACTTCAGTCTACCTTTCCCATTAGAGCCATCTGTTCCTCACGTCCCGAGTCCAGGTCTCTGCAGTCCAGAGGGACCTCCACCTCTCCCAGAAAGGCGTTACGGCTGAGGCGACCATGATGCCAGACAGATATCAGCAAGGAGCGGGTGACCAGCTGAGAACGGCTGATGGAGTACTAGCAGTACGACAGAGAAGACCCAATGAAAAGGCTAATTTGTCAAGGATCCTCTGGTTGGAGGGGTAATAATAAACCATGGATAAGAACCCTCAATCAAGCTTCTCAGAAACTTCCCTTAAAATTCCAAACTAAGGTAAATTTAACAACTATTTCTATATTCAGCTAATTTCCCTGTAACCAGCTCTGTGTTAAAGCTGCTTCCAGTGTAAGCAGGACCAAAAATCAATATTTGACAATAGCTGTACTTATCTGCAATGTAAATATAGATCCGAGGTCACTGTGGGTGCGGTCATTAGTTGGAAATCTAACACAGAAGTGTTTTTTTTTCCTTTTTCTCTTTAAACTATAAGGTATAGCTAACCTTTATAGTTTCACTGTAGACTGGGTTAAGGTTGTTCTTCTTGATGCTGGTTTTTCTCTTGCTCTGGCGTGATTTGTCAGGGAGCAGGTAACATTTCACATAACTGAAACAAAAACAGAAAAGCAAAGAAGAGGTTTACAGTATGTTTATACGGGACGAAACTGCTGATCTGCTGCATTTCCTGACTCATTGCTGAGGAGACTGCTGATATACAATTTCCCGTGAAGCTGAGCTAATCACCAGTGGGATGCAAGAATAAGCCTGTGTAAACAGAACAGCCCCTTATCTAAACAGATCAAAGCTCTGGAAACATTACAAAGAGCTGTGTGCACATCCCAAATGTGCAAAGACTCCATTAGTTTTGCTGCTGAACAACTTTAGGATCATTTGTGCAGTTATTTTTTCTGTGATGTTACGCAGAGGTTTATAACTCACGGGTTGGAAAGCCGCTGTGTCGTGTCGCCGTAGGCCAGACCATGGCACTGCTTGATGAACACATGAAGGTTCTGAGTGTGATCATCGTATTTCACAGAGAAAACGATGTCACCGCTCACCTCCACCCTGTCAAAGTCTCCGGATTCACTGTAAATACTCATCATGCTCTGCACAGATGTAAAAAATCTTTAATAAATCCTGCATTTAATCCAAATCTATTTTTAAAACATTGACTTTTAGATAATCATCTTACAGTTAATCAAGTCAATAAAAATTTCTTATTCAAATCAAGTTAAAAAATTTAAGCATTAGCTGTTTGCTCTTAAAAGACCTTGTTATAAAACTTGCATGGTCCGACTCTCTTTATCTGTTCAAATCTTTATAACTTGAAACAGGAAATCCTGGGGTTACATATGTATATTAATGTTGCTCAACATCATTAAAGCAAGCAGCTGGTCTGCATGCTGCATAGTAAAATATCAGAGCATTCATACCTGTGAACTCTGCAGACTTGAAGTTCTCGTAGCCATGGACTGTTTATGAAAGCTAACAATACGATCAATATCTTCATCCTCCTCTTCATCGTCCTGTGTAGCCATAAAACATTCATTTACTGAACAGTTAAGAGTAATATTTTAAAAGCAGCTTGTATGATCAGCTTTGAGTGCATGAAACCTCAATTTTGCTTTATATTATTTAGAAGACGTATCAAACCACTACCAGCCGATCCTCACACTATCCACTACATAACTGATTATTGTACAGATTTCTGCACCTGAAATAAAGTAGTAATTTCGTGGGATCCTAAAAGCAAAAACGGCGAGAACCCCACAAGATATGGCTGTGATAAAAGTACAAATTATTCATTTTCCTTTTCAGGGTTCATGGAAAACAGTATTAGAGTATTTGTATTAGAGTATATAACCCTGTACCCACTCCTGAGAGGGAACGCCTACTGAACGTGTGCAAAAGCATGCATGAGTCCATTTCTCATGCGCACTCTGTTTAAAAGTTACTGTTCGCATCACTCAAATAGCATGCCAAACCTTATCTGTTAAGTAGAAACTTTGCAACTGAGGCATCGGTGAGGCGCCTAGACTCTGGTTTCAGTGAACGCCATCACGTGAAAGAATCTCCCAAAAACATTCTGGTCTTGTTTTCCTCTTCTAAGGCCTTTTTTTCCCTTCTCATACACTTCGTAGACCCTCTGCCATTTTGAAAGAATCACAGTGAGAAAGGTGAGTTTCAATGACTTTAAAACTGTAGCTCACCGCACATGTACGCCTGAAAGTGCACATGCACAGAAAAAGATAGCTAAATGGGGACGAGCACGTAGGACGGCCTTACGTAAAAATATCACCAGAATGAGTGACAATAAGGAGGACCACTTATTTAGATGATCCACCCGGAAAAATAACATCTTCCACTACACCTTTAACAATGACCTCCAAGAACACCTGTTTGGACTAAGTATCTGTGGCTGTGAAGAAGAGCAGATTATGTAGCGTCAGGAGCATCACATGAAACATACCCTCAATGTCCAAAAATACAATATTAAAGCCTTTTCACAATCTCTAAAATCTGCTCTTAAACTTACTAGAATCTAGGATATATGCAATTCTTCTTTAGCTTTTTTTACCCACTTGTGCTTTTAGATCCTTAAAAAAGCTAAAAAAGAAAGTATTATTTTAGAGATTTAAGGACTCTACAGAGCTGGCAGTAATCAGGACTGAACCATAACTTTTGTTTATCACAATTAATATAAGAATAGATCCAGGATTGTCTGATGACGTAAAAAGCACTTATATATTATATTAGCTGCACACTACTTACTTGTGCATCTAATCCTGGTACTGAGCGGCTTCGCTTGCCCATTGAGGCCGATGATTCAGCATATCCATCACGCAAGTCAAGTGTTGATAAGCACGCTGTCATAAAATATGATAGCATTCAATAGAAATGTCCAAATGAACAACATCTACTCTAAAGAAAAGTAAGATTAAAAACCTGCAGGTTTTGGGGGTAGTCTGACGCTTTTCTTGAAGAGTCTTTCAGCTTCCAACTCTAAGCTTGTATCGAAGGGTGTCACGACTGCAGCCTCCACAGACAAAAAACAAAGGGGATTATTATAGGGAGAGAAACAAGAAAACAGACAATAGTCTTAAGACAAGAGGAAAGGAAATGTCTTTACAGAGGTGGTGCTTGAGCTGCCGCTTTCAGTGTGAACAACTGCTTTGACTGGGACAGTGAGACTGGAGGCACTAGAAGCTGCTGGGCTGGAGGGAACGGAGCTGTGAGCTCTAGAAGAAAACACATGTATTGGAAGAAATACTCCAAATATTTGGAATTTTATCATGTTCTTTAAGCACATAAAACAATAAGAATTACACCTCCTAATTACCCTTAACTTCAAACCTTGAAGTTTGTGAACTTTAAAATGAATAAATACAATCATGGGCTCTGGACTTGCCTAGACATTGTAGAGCTTCAAAGCTTACTTGTGAAAATGGAAAACAGGCTGCCGTTGAACCAATGAGATCGACATGACATTACATTCTTTACCTTTAATTATTCAATTTAGTTTATTTATATAGCGCCATTTAACATATTTTATCCGTAACATATGATTCCCTGTGGTTTCACACTGCGCAGCAATACTCTTCTGCCATTTATCTTTGAAATACAGCTTCAATCTTTTTATGCTTTCGGAATTTTATCATAAAACCTCAATGTTCTCAGGTATGCAAAACAGTATGAAGTGAATGTAGGTAATAAGATTTCAGGTTTTAGTTTCATCTTCTTACTTTTCATTTATAGGCTGGTCTAAACTGTGTCAAATTGAGAATTTACCTGGGTTGCTCAGGCGTGGCTCGGCCAGATTCAGTCTCAGTTTTACTGCTAATGATACTGATGTTTTCTGCAGACTCTGTGTCACTGTGGGAGGGCTTTGTAGAAACATTATCCTTTGGTTCAACAGATTTCCTTGATGCAATAGATCCTGAATTATCACCTGACCGACTGTCAATGAAAATGTTACAAATAATTGTGAAATATTTTTTGCTGTGTCTACTGAAAGGCCTTACACTAATCCTTAAAAAAAATAAAGACTTAAAGAATGAACACTTACTCTGTGCTAATAGGCTGATTCCTCTGTCTGGGCAGTGGCACTGGTTTGGGAGGGACTGACACTTCAGAACACTTCAGGAGCTTTTCTCCTACCGTTTCACGCTCCTGAACTATAAATGTATAGACAAATGAAAAGATCAGTCACCGACATTGTAGCACGAGTCTACTTCCTGCATTACTAACCTGCTGGTCTCTTTTTCAGGGAGAATCTCACAAGATTGTGTCCAGGATTCATAGAGAATCGATTCACTCTCTGATTGTAGAACCAATCACCCGCCCTTTTCTTTACCTCTCTGGAATTAATTACATAAACATTTATACATGCTTAAACTTTGGGTTATCATAACATTAGATGTACTGATTCTAACAAAGGAATTGATTAACAGAGGTTCAGCTGCACTGCAAGTAGAGAAAAAAAAAAGTAACATATAATTGAATACATGGCAGCAGGAATAAACAATAAACCTTAAATCACTTTTGCTGCGATTAAAAAGGATTAGAAAGGATTTAAATAGTTTTTCGGTCCCCAAACATGATATGAAGTCAGCATTCAACTAAACTTATAATATGAAAAACCCTTTGGTAGCTTCATGAACTCAGACCTAAAGTTTAACATGAGTTTCAAGTCAGCATGGCATCAGGTTAGACCCATCGCTGAAGATCACAGAAAGCCGAATGGATTCTTGGATGTTTTAAAACTGTAGTTTTCGATAATTTCCAGACAGGTATTTGTTTAAAAAAACATCAATAAAAAAGTGGTACCAGCATCCTAAGCATCCTATCACACCCTGCCATGGCTACCCTGTAAAAGAATACATGAGATGGTCTTGGCCTGAAGCACAATTCTGGATCAGGCAGGAACTATTTAGGTTCCCAGAACTAAACAAGAGCCGCAGTTGGTTTCTAAGCTCAAACTGCTGCTTTCTTTAAATAACAGATCTGGAAAATTACAGAAAGGTTAACCTAAATGTTTTAGCTTTTTTTTATTTTTTTAAACACATAAATACACTACAAAACAGATTAATACCCCAGATGATGGATGATTGGCTCCCCCACCCCTTCAGGCATGGTTAATGGTTAGTAAATATTGAAACTGTACTTTCATTTGACCCAGTTAGGTCATAGTGGACCTTAATATTAGTCTTTGTGTAGTTGCTCTACAGTTTAACTTTCCCTGCACTGTGGCTGAGTGATGCCAATGATAAATGGGTAGCTATCATGTTTTCACAAGCCACACTGCATTCCAATACATATTTTTCTCTACAGACAGACGTTCCACGCAGGCGTCTACTTTAAACATTAAATTCACATTACATTTACAGACATTGTAGTGCACACCTATGTAAGGTGGTCCTATTACTGATTTTCTTTCATACCAACTAACAGACAGGATTAAGGTTAATTTATTTTTTAAATAAATTCAGTAACGGATGCAAAAATGCAAGGATAAAGGACAGCATGGACAAAATAGATCTTACGTTTCTTTGGCACACACACTGCAGAGCCAGGATCCACTGGGCAGGGAGGTCTGGCAGTTTTTGCACACATAGTGCTTGCATATTTTACACTGGTTGGGAAAAATGGTTAGACGACTCAGAGGCTCCAGGCATCGGCCACAGCTTCGCTCACTGTACTTTCCACTGCCACGCTTTGCCCCTTTCCGTCTGACTTCTGACAACTCTGCCTTTAGCTTCCTGAGATCAAATAAAAACAAACATAAACAGCTTGGATCCAAATTCCTGCATATCAGAAACTAAGGTTTATTGTGCACCTTGAATAAACTGAACTATCAGGGTTTTAAAAAGCATTACATCCCGGAAATAAAAAAAAGTGTTTTTATAAGCAGGAAAACAAAATGCACAGTTAATCTTCCACATCCAATTTGTGTTGTTGGGAAGGAAATAGAAATAAACTTTTTCCATATTTGAAAGAATGCTTTGTCTTATAAAAGAGGATTGTGAAAAAATTGAATGAATATTTTCTCTACAACGCAAAGACTGAGTTAACACCAGCAACTTTACTGATAAATACTTCCATCTTCATTGATTTCTTTTCTCACTTTACTCGCTGCTCTTCCACCCTCCTCAGCTCCTCATCCCGTCGTAGCACTTCCAGGATTAGCTCCCTTTCCGAATCGGACAGAAATCCCAGGTTGATCATATCTGGAGCCTCCGGCATTGTGTTGTTAACCAAGAAGGGTCAGCTCAGGTGAACTGGCTCGACCTTATGGACTATGGATGGTGCATCAATACACAGACCCTGAGGAAAAGAAACACACAACTTAGTTTCTGCAGTATTTAAAAGAAAGATTGACAGAACCTGTGTAATTTATCTCAGCAGGAAGTAGTTCTTTATTAAAAAAAAACAGAAAAAATGGTTATGGAAGATAACTTCATAACTTTTCAAAATATACAAGTAGTCTCAATAATCTTTGATCTTCCCTAAACTGATTTTCCCATGACAGGCTTTGGTCAGAAAAGGGGGTCAGAGATTAAAATAAATAAAAGGGGGGAAAAAAATTAAGATCCAACAGGCATCTTCTATTTTAGATTAAATGTTTTGACTAGAAAAGGTTAAAACAACATGAACCTGACCATCATGGTGGGTTCCCACCCTTTAAGAACACAGATAGCAGGGTGGAGTTCACCAACTAAACTATTTGTTTAAACTTAACAAAAAATAGCAGCTCCAATTAAACTCTTATGAAATAAAAGGAAACGAGTTTTTATTTTGTCTTCATTTCCAAAAGGTAGACGCCTTTGTTCCTCATACTTTAAATACCAGCAGTTAAACAGTGCCTGAAGAGCAACTTGTGACGCTTTCAGGAACTGCGGATTAAAACTGAAAAATTACCGATAATGTTAATAAACTTTATCGATATTTACTAAGTCGTAAATGTGAGGCCAATACATCTACCGGCTTATATAAATAAACACAAATAAAAACAAATGGAAGTGATTAAACCTTTAAAAACCCTGCAAGTTTAGGATAAACATCTAAAACTCCATGACCTGTTTATGAAGCCCACGGTTAGCGTTAGGTTAGAGTTACAAAAATAACTCTTTAAAAAGATAGCTAGTAGTTTAGAAAACAGAAAAGCAACGAGGTCACAACAAAATGTTCAAACATAACCGTAAAGTTAATTTCATTAGTAAAATAATGTCTCACACCTGTTGGTGAAAGTAGATCAGTCCGCTGTCCGCGCGGGCTCTGGTTGCTAAGGGAGACGGCGACAGGAAATCCAAAAAAACGGCTTTAAATGCAACATAATGAGATTAGCAGTCAGACAGTCCTGCAGCTGCGAGCTTCACTCACCGTTTAACCACCAGTATCCTGACCGCACCTCTACATAATTACTCCTTTCCTTTCCTTTCCTCCCTGCCCTGATCCGCCCGGAAGATGAAGGAGAAGTTTGCGACTCTCAGGTTGGAGCGCCTCTAGGTTTTCCATGACAGGTGCGTTTCTTTTTTTTTGCCCCGTTTACCACAGAAAAAAAGGCTGAATGTGGAAAACTATTTAACCTTTATTTTTTCATGTCACCTCTTAGAGCAGTTCTCCGCTTTTCTCCCAATCACTGAAAGGAAAGTCCCTAAAGCTGGGAACAGTCCTAAAAAGTGGATAATGTTTAAAGTAATTCCAGCAAGAAGTTAAAATCTTCAAAAAATAATTTCAGATTTAGTCAAACTTTCAGATTATCTAAGTCATTTTAACATTAATAAAAACACAAATCAGTTATTTGCAACATGTATAGACAGTAGTCTAACTGGTAAAAAAAAAAGAAGGGGGATGTTTGATTATTATTATTTTCTGGAAGCATACATAGTCTATTAACCTAAAGCAATATGCATGGTCTGGTTGTTTCATGTCAGGTCATTGACCTTCACCAAGGCATCTTACAGTAGAACTGCAGTCAGTCCCTGGACTGGCATGACTGTCACTGCCCCTACATAGTTATGGACTCATTTCCATCTGGGATCAGCTTCATAGTCATGGTAGGACACTTCTTTGATGTTATTTATTTTGCATAGGCTACTTAAGCCCACAGCCCACCGAATGTTGAAAGGGTAATATTATTTGCATTACTGTTAATATATAGTACAAATTTTACACATTCAGTAATAAAATGTCAGAGGGGATGCTATAGGGGGGATGGTCATTTAATAAGGGTGATGATTTTTAAGAAGGGGGGTGCCAGAGAGACTCTCCTGCTGCACATTATATTGCTAATTTTGCACATTTTCTGTCTTAGTCGGTTAAATAACATGCTACTGCCATTTTGCACATCTCAGATGTTGCTATTTTCAAATATCCATTACTGTAAACATGTCCATAGCTGTATATTGGTTGTTTATTCTCCAGGTGCACAGTTTTATATTGTTAAAACACTTTACAGTACAGTATTGTATGTGTTTATTTTTAACTCTTCACTATTGTGTTTATTTTATACACTTTTGTAAGTCCACATTTGTGTGACCATTTTTCTATAATCTTTTTGCTGCTGTAAACGCCAGAATTTCCACATTGTGGGACAATAAATGGATTTTCTATTTTATTCTATTCTATTCTCTCCTTTCTAGAGAGAAGCAAGCAAATCCTAGAGCTGCTCCAGGATTTATTGGAGAAAATGGAGGGTTTGAAAGTATTTTTTATTTTATTTTCTTGAGCTGTTGCAACTTCCCCTCTGATGCAAATATTTAGTTCCCATATACCTAAGTAGATAATGTTGTATAATGAAAGTTTTGATTGATTGTTGTGTTTTTCCAAAATAGTTCTAGAAGTCCAGTTTTCTGATAGCTTGGGTTTTCATAATGAATGCATGCATTAAAAATGGACAAAATTAAAGTTATCAAGCTCACATATTGTTCCATTTTTCAAGAAAAAGTAGCACTACAACTCTTTTGTTTTACTTAAGTAAAAAAGTACTTTTGTAAAATGGTTACCCTGAGTACTGAGTCCTTGTTGGCTCTAAACATCTGATGTAATGATTAAAATGATGTTAACAGACAGTTGTGTGCAAAGGCTGGTATTTGAAATTATAGAATAAAAAACAGAAATAACATGACAAAATAACACATTTGTTCAGAAGTAATACTTTTCCATATGCTTATGTTTCAACATAAACGTAAAAAACTATATTTACTGTTTGTATTGCATATGCTAGGAAAAGAAATTCTAGCAACAAAATGCCTGACCCTTTGCATATAGTTCCAAATTGTAAAAAAATGTACCTTGTATAAAATTTGCTTTGAAATATTAACAGATGGATGGAAGTTCATCATATAGTTAATCATACGGAGGTGGCTTCTCTCTAAATAACAGTAACATGCAAAAAGTGTTGCAACTGATCCCTGTCTCTTGATGAAGTGGGCTTAGAGGTCAAAAATCAAAGCATTATGCT